CAATAACACATGAATAACACGCAATAACACATGAATAACGCGCAATAACACATGAATAACACAGGAGAGAATATTCCCCGTGTTACTGCGCCGTTTTTTTTGCTCTACCGCGCGAGATGTCGTGGCGTGTTTTGATTGGCTACGCACGTTATTTTTACGTGCGTAGTACTGATCTAATATTTCTTCCAATTCTTATATATTTACATATCTAATCCCCAAACTTTACACTTCACATATCCACTATTTTATTGCATACACCATTTTAAATTTTAAACAGCCAGATACACTTTTTTTTATTGCATAAATGAAATGCAAAACTTCCTTTTTTTTTTTTTTCCTGTCTTTGCGCCTTAACTTGCAGTCTCGATACAACTGGATGTCCGTCTTTTCCTTCGTCGTTTTCCCCACGGCCCCAGTCCAAATCTCGCTTAAAGTTCTTCCCAGCTGGATGCCCCGTGACCAATCGCAGCGACAATGATCGCAAATTCCTTTCTCCGATCGAAAGTGGTAGCTCGGGTATGAAACTCAAAGGCTACGCCGAGAAGTATCTCCCTTTTAGATTATCTTTTATATTCTTGCTATTTTTGAGAAGCTCCGTTGGTTTGCAGGTTTTTTTTTGGAATTACCAGGCCATGACAATGTTTTGGATCTAATTTGGCATTGGGTTCATTTTGCAGATTGGAGGGCTGTGGAGAAATGGGATATTGCCGCAGGTTAGCACCTCGTGCGCGAGATTTATGGGTTCGGAGGCTTCTCTGGAAGCTGAGTCGAATGAAGGAAAGGGGTATGGGGAATTTGATGCCATGGTTTTGTTCTTTTCTTGTTTTTGTGCTAACAGTGAATATTTATTGATATTATCTATTATCTATTATTAGGTTTAAGGGCCACGGCATGCTAGCTCCATTCACTGCTGGATGGCAGAGTACGGATTTGCACCCTTTAGTCATCGAAAGATCTGAGGTAAAAAATATATATATTTTTATTATTTCCTTCATTCACTTTGATTTTTGTTATTTTAAATTCAAAGGTGACAATGTTTTTTTTTTGGGTCAGTTTATGATCTCACTCCAGGAAAAAAATTGAGTACGTGTAGAGCTGCGTACGTCTGTAACCTGCAAATAAGTTACAGGGAGGATATTCGGAAGTTATAACCGCGTTATAGCCCCTGTAACCTAAATATATATGAAAACAGAAGCTCAAAACTTACTAGAAGGTACAGATAGGTTACAGTGGCTATAACGCGGTTATAATCTCCAAATATCCTCCATGTAACCTATTTTCAGGTTACAGACGTGCGCAGCTTTGCGTACGTCTTACGTACGCAAATATTTTCCAGCATAATAAGGGCTAAATCTTTTTTTTGTTTGATTAATTTGGATGCTAATACATACATTCCTAAGGGGCTGTTTTGTTTCAAGTTTTAAGTAGTATTTATGCTGAATTTACCATAAATCTTGCCTAACGACAAAAAAAAAAAAATGCACAAATAATCTTATGGGTTTCTTAAATCCTATTTTCACTCTGTTTCATGAAAATATTGTATATATTAAATCCTGTAGAGGCCATTTGACTGAAGGGAGGATTTATTGAACCTTGTAAATCCAAATTTAGTGAATCGACAAAACTTTTTGACATGTCAGATGATAAATCTCGTTAAATCATGATGAATTTTTTGGTTATCTAATTCAAAATATATGGTGGTTAACTCCAATAAAATTTAGCCATAATTCATTTTAATTAAATTGAAATAGTTTGCACATTAGTAGTTTATAATAAAAACATAAAACGCCTGCGAATAATGAGAACCTTAAAATATATATTAAAAAATATAATTAAAATCATAAACATTCTTTAATGACACTAATGTGTGACCGAATTGGTAAAATTAAGTGATGTTAATTAGAATAATGTTTCAAACATCAAATATAATTAAATCAAATGACGAATTTATGTAGGTTTTGGGAATTTGTACTTTGACTTCTAGAGGTTCAAGTTCTTAGAAAGAACTTTACATTGTATAATTAAAATAATACCCAAAAATTTCATCTTTAATTTATGAGGATTTTATGATATATTTCAAGATCTTTTTAGGTGCGCAAGACACTATGGTTAGTTATCTCTCTGGTCGATGATAGAGAATTCTCATTGAGGGTTTGCTCTCTAGGCTCTAATTACTTAGTTTATAATATTAACAATTTGGTTGTAGATTTAAGCAAATTTATTGCCATTAGTTTAAAATGGATGATTGGGGTTTGGGGGGTGCGTTTGGGAGGGGGGTGGGTGGTTAGGGGAATTATGAGAGACCCAATTATGATCCCATATTTTGTCACACTCCAAATGACTCTCCTTTTAGGGCCAACCATAGTGCGATAGAGATAGAAGACTCTATTAGTTCAAAATCCCACCAATACTTGTCATAACTTGCAAAATCAGGACACAGTGGGTAAAGAATCAATATAACTCAATCATCTCAAATATACACGATTCATTTTAATTCATAATCCATTCACATTCACCAATACTTAGAAATATGAAAAATTATGTCACAAAAACATATATGCAAGGTTGCTAAAAAAATAATAATAAAAGAAAGTACCGTACAACCTCCAAAAGCATCTCACACATGGATACTCAATCTAGTACTCATTATTCCGTCTTGAATTTCATGAACATAAGAGTGAGTCACAATATGCTAAACAAAATAATCAAGGCTAAAGTAAAATCTTATAAATGGAAAAGAAGCAACATGCATGATCCCGAGTACCTCATATGCAGGACAATAGAACATATTACAACATTTTTTAATCATATAAAACATCTAAATGAATTCATAAAATGGAATAAATTATGACATTTGTGTAAACATTTGTTCCATTCATTCAGGTGCAATAATAGATATATCAATAAAAATTTTATAATCAATCAATGTAATCATATAAATGTTACTTGTAATTGTATAGAACATAACAACTTTTATGTTATTTCACAATCAAATGATTTGTCATTATGATTTTTTACACCCCAACCAACCTCTCTTTTTCAGGGTCAACCATGGTGAGATAGAGGCGGATGTCTTAGGGTCTGTTTGGGGCAACTGCAGCTTATTCAACTCAGCTGATCCGGATAAGCTGGCCGAATGTCTTAGGGTCTGTTTGGAAAACAACTGATTAATAACTGTTTCTGGATAAATGACAATTCCGCCCCTGATCTGGACAAGTGACATGTAGATGCAGAGCAAATAAAATTTAGGAAGCATTATAGACCTAGCACACAATTTTTTTTTGCACCTGCATATCTCACACCTAAACTTTCATATTTACGAACCTAGCCCACAATTCTAAAAAATAGAAGTTTTGAGTGTCATGCATGTAATTCCCCCATTTTACTTTGAATAATTGATCCTATCAGGATATAATGGCTCATGCATGCCGCCTAATGATAAACCATAACAGATAAAGTAAAGAACAAACTTTGGTAGCAGCATCGAAGCGGGATTTAAGTAGTATTTAAACTAAATCCCGACAAAAAATAAAAAAATGACAAATATCTACATGATCTTAAATCTTGTTTCTCTCCCGTTAAAAGACGGATTTATGAGATTTGAAGGAGCTAATTGAGCAAAGGGGATTGGGAGTGGGAGGAAGGCGCAGGGAGGGGAGTTTCGGAGGACTTTGTACCTCCCAATTGTGTCGTTCTCTTCCAACTAACTCTAGTTGCGCGACTGTATTGTGAGGGTTTCTGTCATGGTTTCGGGCGAAGTCGGGGCAGGGGGGAGAGATTTCCATGAAAAGAGGGCGGTAGATCAGAGGGAGGAGACTGACAGAAGAAGGGCATGCGAGTAAAAATGCGCTCGACTCAGATTCAAGACGCGGGCCGTGGGGCTGCGGCCCCACCTCTTAAGGATTTATTAACTGCGTTTCACCGTAATCTTCCGGAACAAACGAACCAAACGACATGTCAACATTTTCAAAACGCCGCCGCATCTATAAGCTGCCCCCAAATAGCCCCTTAGTCCAAATTTCCACGAGCACATTTCATGACTTGCAAAATCCGTATCCAATGGGTAAAGTATCAGTCTAACTCAATCGTGAGAAGCATATATGATTCATTTCAATTTATAGTTCTTTGATATTCATATATATTTTGAAGCATGAAAAATCATAACCAAAATATATATAGAAAGCTATTAAATCCAAAATAATAAAATTATGTACCCAAAAGTCTGTACAACCCCCAAAACTCTAATACAAAAATTGTATAATCCCATACCTGATTATTCGATGTGGTGCTCATTATCGCTAAAACATATATACTACACTGATAAATCAGAAATATTTAAATATGCACCAAAAAGTCTAGGTAACCTCTAAAACTATAATACAAAAACTTTACAATCTCATTCTTGGCTCACATCTCGATGCTCATTATCCCTTCTTGAAAGTCAGTAACATAAGTATGAGTTATCACAGGTTCAAAGAAATAATCAAGTCTAAAATAAAATTTTATAGATGAAAAAGAAGCAACGTGTCTGATTACGAGTAGCTCATATATGGGACAAGATAACATGTCACAACTTGCTTTTATAATGTAAAATATCTATGAAGACATGAAATGCAGTTAATTATGTCAGTTGTGCAAGACATGAGTTTCATTGATTCTTGTGCAGTCATAAACATATTCATATGAATTTCATAATCAATCAGTATAACCATAGAAATTCACCTGTAATTGTATAGAATATGACTACTTTCATATCATTTCATGTCATTGGGCCGTCACCCAGCTCAAAAACTAACTATTAATAAAGGTTGAACTCCTCCCAACATATTAATTATTAATAGCCCCCTGTACCAGTGGTTCCTTACTTCTCGTCTCTGTCTGATTCCAACGGTTCTCAGATTTTCATCTTCGCCTGAATGTCAGATCGTTCCCTATCTTCTGTACTTGCAAGCGTTCAAGTCATAAGTCATATATATAAATCACATGTTACAAATACCTACAAGTGAATATATTTCATAAACATGAGGAAATTTAAATTGTTATTCATGTATATTTGTAGGTATTTAACAATACATGGAAATTCTAAATGCACATACTTCACAAGAAATAATATCAAAATCTTAGAGAAAGATATTACTCTTAATTTATCATAGGATTCCTTCACCTGAATTGACGAAGCAATCCTACGACGAGTTTCTCCATTCTTGCCCTAAGCTAGCTACCTAGTGTAAACCACCTAGAATTCATAAACCATTTAGGATTTTCATGAATTCTTATATTGGTCTTAATTGAACCCATACATAATCATAGTGCTGATATTTACCTTGAATAAGTTTCCTTGCATGAACTTTCTCTACAAATTACTTCAAATCCTCGCTTCCTTCCCCCTATCCTTACGTCATTTTCCTTTCCCCCTAACCCTTATCAGCTTCTCAAGAAATGGATTGACTGCAGAGCATCGCTCTCGGTTTCCCAGTCCCAAGACTTTTCCCGCGAAGTTGCAGCAACAGGGAACACACAAAATGCCTCACTTTATAGCAAATGTGAAAAAGGAAACTTAGGAAAGAAAATGAATGTCTCAAACATCGTTAAGGAGATGTTTCTACTTAATGTTTTTCTTTTAGAGCTCCCAGTCATGAGTTGTGGCTCTTTGTCGTTTGCATGGATCGTGTGTGCTACAATGCCACAATCGTAAATCCCTGGAGGCGTGCGAAACCGAAGTATTGGGAGGGGAAATAGGAGAAATGCGACATTTAATGTGATTCAAACAATTCTCAGACTTACGATTGGATCTAGCCGTTGCATGTAGAGTAAAGTGCGGCTACGAGATTGCTACATTACGGCTGAGAGGTCTAGAAGATTAATTATGTTTAATTAAGGTATTTGTTAAGTAGTTATTTCAAAATTTCATATCTTCCTATACACTTACAATTCATACATAGTGCTATTTCTCAAATTGA